ATATATATTATACACATAAAATTGATGTTGTGTGTAATATCTAAAACACATATTAACTAGTTTATGAAACAGAGTATTTATCTTAATTGTTATATTGGTTAACATGTGAAAATAAAATTTTTTTTTACATAAAAAAGTATATATGTTTTTACATACAGGTATACATTTCTTGGGCAAGTATGAGAGTTTTTCTAATTCATCGATTGATCAATCACATTGTGCGCAAATACAAGTTTACTTCGTAAAAACATATGCACATAATACGATTGATCAAGCAACAAATTAAAAAAACTCGCTTTATTCATTTCAAAAGTTATGCAAATTCTTGCACCTGCGTAGTACATCTAAAATATATTTATTACAATAGTATTACATATGTATATATTACATATGTATATATTTACATATATATCTTAATGATACATTACTTTTAAATAATGTTTCTACTGAAATATTTCATGGTTGGTATTCGTTACATTATTGACAATATTATTTTGTATATGATGATTATACATGTAGCTAATTGACTAATAGTAAAAAAGATATCAAAATTAAAGTTTTTTTTTCATTTTCACATACATTTTATAAAATAAATTCAATGTATATATTATAAAGCCTGACATAATTGACAATTTGTAAATTGTGATCCTGACAGATGTACAACATATTAAAAACTTACAAAAAATAAATAAATAAATATAAATTTTTTACAGGTGTTAAATATTTCCAAAAATCAACAAATATGTTCCGTAAATAAGGAAACACACAAAGACTAAGCATGCTGCTATCATAAAGGACTTTGAGTTTTCCTTTCTTAAATTTTGCAACTCCTTTTCATTTCGTCTGAGAACTTCCTTGACTTCCTCCAGCTCGTTCTCCAATTTCTCTCGATTTTCTGTAGTGAGTAATTTCGTCTTAAGTTTTCTCTCGATTATTTCGACTCTGTATAAGGTATCTTTTAAACTCTCTTCCACATGTTCCATCTAAAACGTAGAGATTAAAATAATTTGAACTTTCAGTCGACAGATTGGATAAAAAGCAATCAGATTATCAGTACCTTCGTAATAATGGTATCATTTCGTGTCATTGTGTACAGTCGAATGTACACCCGTATCCACTTTCCACTCGGTATCACTCGCAATGAATTTCTTGACACTTGCAAAGTTGTATTTCTATCGACAAATGTGACACATGTTGCTACATGTGAAGAAATAAACTAAAGAGAGTCAGCTGAAAATATATGTTGTACATACAGTTGAGAGTGCCATCATGCTTGAAGTTCCAAATTCCAGTGTGTTCCAGCTAGCGAATGAATCACCTCTAGATACATGTTTCTGAACCATGATTGTTGGTTCAAAAACTCGATCGTTTTAAAAAATAAGGTAATTTCTACTAAAACTCCGATTAATTTGATTGTCGATTAATTCATCGATATCTGTATCATTTTATTAACACGGAGAGAATTATGAATTTTTTATCGACACATGGAAAGAAAATAGATTAATAGAAACAAATTATACGCAATTAGAATTTTACTTTATGTCTATTGATTGAATTTTATCGATTAACTGAATCGAATTTTAATTTTAATTTTATCGTTCTATAAGAACTTATATTGTGTACAAGTTTTTAATCATTCGAATTTTATGCTAAATTAATAAATATTATTGAAAATTGTAATATCTTTCTATTAACTATGTCAAAACTTTAGATGATTTAATAATTGTAATTCCATTAAATATTGATTTTTTGATTTGTCTTTTTACATTATGTTTTATATTGATAAGGACAAAATTCAAAGTTTCTATTAATACTTTAAACATGCATTGATTTACATATATTCCTACAAAACTGGATAAGGATAATAAGGAATAACTATTATAAACTAGGTGATCTAAACAAGACAAATTTAGACACTTCAATATTTCATTGTTAATAATTATAAATATAATTTGTTTCATAACTTCAGTATATTATACAGAGAATAATCTTTGATCGCTAATTAGAGAGTTTCAAACACAATCTGTATATCCATGTCCAGAGAGATGTTTTCCATGATCTTCCAATTAACTTATCCACAAAAATAATCAAATGTAGCTCGCTGCCTTCAATGTTCTTCTACCTTGCTAAAAGATAGTATCCGTATCGACATTTTTTTTCTTCGTTCAACAATTATAAAAACGATGATCAAACGATGCATGAAGTTTTTAGCTTCAAATGATAAATAAAACGATTAATAGAGGATAACAAAATAAATAAAGATGCAACAATAGAACTATTAAGTTATCACTTGGTCTAGTTCATCAATTTTTCATCTTTACATGAAAAGAAAATCAATCGAAAGCAGCTTCCACGATATATTTATTCACTTCTAAGTGAATAAATATTGGCAGCTAAAGCATTGTTTCACACTTTTAAGCTACAACACTTTCGCACATCTTCTGAACCTACAAGGAGTTATTTTCAGTATTTCCGAGTGCTATTGCAAAAGTAATGTAATGTATACATCTTAAAATACAAATGACAACCATAAATCAAATGTAAATTGAATAGTAGTGCCCCAAGTTTTACGATATCAGCAATATAGCGAGGAATGAGAGAATATAAAAATTATACCTATTCTTTATATCTCTTTCTAAAAAAAAAAATCATTTTCTTTGTTTCATTATTTCCGCATTATTAATATACATTGGTTAATTGAAAAATAATAAAATACGTGATAACATCTGTTATTAAAAAAATCGATCACATTCAGTGATTTGACACACGCCATTACACAACAACTTCCAGGTTAAAATATTATATGTTTTAGATTCGAAAAGGATTGACAAAACTCATTAAAGTTTTATGAAGTGACAAATCCATAATTGACGTATTAGAAAAATACTAGCTAATTATCATCATACTAGATAAGTGACAACAAAATTATTATCGATAATAGTTCTTGTATAGTGCAGTTCTTATACAATACTAGACGTAGAATTGTTTCAACAAAGAGCACAATGCCTATATTATATATATATTTTAACAGATATATAAAGATATAAAGATTTCTCTAAAAAACCGAATAGATTTCGCAAAAATAGTAAGGTAACAAAAACACAGTTATATTGTCATGCAAAATATTAAGAAGTTGATAACACATGAATTTTTCATTAAATTTTCATACAATTTGCCCATCGCTATATTATTAGCTTTACTTTATGATTAATCGTGCTGCTTCTAGTTTGATTCTAGAGATGGAAAACTGATTCAACAGACCAAGTGATATCGTGGACATATTTTACATTTTATATAAATTCTAAAAATCTCGAAATCAGGTATGAGTATAAATACCGAGACTCCGACTTATGTGTTACTATATAACAATTCATGAATTCAAACACTTTCAAAAATCCAATAGTTTCAAGAAAAAGACAAAAACTTTAGGAACGCGGAAGCTTTGAAATGCTGAAGACTCACTGGAACACAAAACATTTAACATTTGAAGAAATATTGATTTCGTAAATATCCAACATGTAACTAATTTATATGAAAATGTTTTGTGTTCGCACATATGTCTATTTAGCAACTCATTTTTAGGAGAACGATGCTCTCTCTCTATGGACGATCATTCAGTATCCAAATATATTTTAAGTGCTCTCTCTCGACGTGGACTATAACTCGAAGTAGTAGAAAGCGGCGTTAAGCGTGAATTTTCCTTAAAAGCGATCTCCATTACCTCGTCAGCATTTAATTGTTTTGGTTTTTCTCTATTGTCCCTAAAACAATCCAAACATTTAGTGAAATTAAAAGGTTTTTTGTATATCAATTTAACGACAAATATAATAAATACATACCTGTACAAGAAGACAGCACCATCTTCAAAATTGTAAAAAAATAAGCTATCGTGATGTTCATTCCAATCATGCTCGTTTTGGATTCGAAGCACAGAATTGTCACACGGAAAACTACCTTTCCCCTTTGCTATATCTATGTGCTCCTCCGGAATATCTGATATTGAAGAAAGCTAAAAAAAAAGAACAATAATTATTTAAGTCCATTTTATCTTCTTATCGATACAAAAAACTTTTTTTACTTACTTTCTTTTTTAGTTCTTCAACAGTTCTATTATTCATAACAATTTCTTGGAATTGTCCCAATTGCAATTTTGCTGGTAACCACCTTCTGACAAACAGGACAATCTGATTGGTGTCTGTGACTATCTCTTTATCTGATAGTTCTTGAACAATCATTTCAAACTGCGAATGAAATTGGAGATCCTCAAACTTCTGTTCGTTTAGAAATACTTTTGAGGCTGTTTTATAATACTTTTTCCTAAGTCGGCATTTTTCATATGGTATATCTATATCATATTTTCTCTTTATTTCTGCCAATATCTCTTTTTTTGCATGTCCAACCGTCATATCTCTCGAGACAATCCATTCACATAAAAATTTGTAAGGCTAAAATTTTTATCCACATAATAAGAAATCTTGATAACTAATGACACACAGATTTTTCTAAGCATGCAAAAAATACGATACAAACCTCAGTGGAGTCGATTAATAGTTGATATAATTTTACTTTAAATTCTCCATTACGCAAAGCTCGGCCAAGTTTCACATTAAGTCTCTCACCATCCTCGTACGAACTAAGTTGTTCCATCAAACAATTGCATTCTGATTCACCAGAATTCGATAGACGAAAAATTTTAAAATACTCCACAGGTACACCCACAAATGGTTCTAAATCTTTCTTCAATGTGCTCAATCTCATTCTTTTATCCACTAATACTTTAAGTACTGTAAAAAAGAAAAAGATTATTAAATTACGGGACCAACAGTCATAATCATTAAAATGTTGATTTTAACGACATACGGTTTTGTTGAGTACTATCTGTATATTGTGTAGCTCTAAAGTAATAATCGGAGTCATCATCAATATCCCAGTTTTCTATTTCGAATCGCTTTGAAATCTTATAGTTGCGCCTTACGCCTACGTTGCAATCATAACGATTCGATATTGCACGGCTATCCCACGATATTGAACCGCAATCATGGGATAGCGGTGCAATATCGACACCCTCTGGTACATCACCAACCAACGTTTTATCACTATCACTAAGGCTGCTATCTTCACTATTACTTTGTTCAGGAGTATTCCATTCCTCAGCTTCCCCTAACTGAGGACTTATATTTCGTATAGTAGCATCCTCATTAGTTCGTGCACCTTTTAAAGTTTCATTGCATTTCAAATTAACATCCCAATCGGATTCATTAAAGAGTTTAAGTGGACCACTAGTAACAGACTTTTCCTTTTCTTCGTATTTATCATCTAACAATGGGATATTTAGTTCTTCCAAAGTTTCTGCATAAAAATGAAAACAAATTAGAATGTTTGTAATTATAATTTAATTACTATTGACATTCTGTAAGCTATTGAAAAATCGTACCTTTACTTGTATCTGGTAACTGAATATGCAGAGAGATAACATGTCTAAAATTTTCTATAATTCTGTGTACTGTAGATTCTTGAAAAGGTTTACCATTATCTATATCATACATTGTTGATATGAATACTTTATTCGCGTTATAAAATCCTTCAGTTTGAAGATCACTATCATCATTTTCCACTGGTCTAATTTCCGGGAATTTTCGCAATATTACTTTCATTTGCTTAGGATCCATACTAATAATTTTTCCTACGGTTTGTTTATATTCTTTAACACTTTGCGACAATAAACCTCGGATATCGATCGGACCGTCAATTACCTCCTCTCGGGTTACGTCTATGACAAATACTTTAGTTGCAACTCCTGAAACATAACATTTATAAAGTTTGAATTTTGACTGTATATAATTCATTTCACACACACATTCATCCAATGTTCCGTACTCACCACCCGGTAAATACGTCTCAAACTTTTGATCTTTGCGACGAATTTCTAATAATAAATCGAATCGACGTGAAAAACGCCATATATTTCCAACAGATTCATGCTCTCGATCATCGTAACTACATTCTATTAAATCAGTATTATGTTCATAACTAACTAAACGACACTGATCCAAACTCACTACATTTTCAAGACCAAATTTCTTATATGCTTTTTCTGTTGCTTCGGTCCAAGTGATATCAGGCATAACAAATAATTTGACATTCATCAATTTCCCTTCTACTGGATGATGACAGTATACTTTCAATCTAGGTATAGACATTTTCTCACGATTTTTTCTATCGTTATCTTCACTTTCTTTCATTTTCTTTAATAGCTCCTATAAATAAGATGATAAAAAAATAAATGTATTAAATAATATATTTTGAAAAAAAGAAGAGTAGAAAAGCTTTTGCATATATAATTACAAAAGATGTCTTACAATTAAAATATCTTAATTATTGAACAAAAATTTTAATTATTTTATTTTATTAATAAATAAATTGTAATAATTATGTTTAAATAAATTTAAAACTGCAATTGCAAATGAATAGTTTAAGAATTGAATAGTTTAAGAATTTATTCTATTCGAATTTTACAAAATAACTTAAAGATTACTACAATTATATTCATTTAAATTTGTCTCTAAATTCTAATTTTTATTTACATTACTTATAATGTACAAATAATATAATATACAAATAATATACATTATCTGTATATTATTTGTATATTACCTGAATGTGTTGCGGAAAATCTTCAGTTTGCATAGGTAAAGCATTACGAGCACGATCGATTTGCCTATACATAAGCATATACGCATTCGTGCTACTGCTATATGCACCGCTATAATACGCCCTCGAAGGTCCACCGCCATATGTTTTATGAATATCATCATCAGTTATCTGAAGATGTAACATAATTGAAAAAAATTATTAACAAATGTTAAGGAATACAATAAATTATTGCAAAATTAATTTTCATACCTGAGTTACGCTTTGGTCATTAAAACATAACCATTCTTGCGTCCTGAAATCTTTTATATAAGCGTAATAATGACCTCCGCTCGCACTGCCACTATGAATCATGATTGAGAACAATTCATACGTGTATGGGCCTTTTCCCAACATATAAGCACTGCGATTCTTTTCATTCTCATGATTATGAGTAATACAGCTCGACGTTGATGGTCCATTGCTCATATCAATACCTGAAGGTGGACATACACATCCTCTAATAATTCTGAAAATTGGTTCGATAAATAATCACACCTATAATATTATACCTTCATCGTCGTCTTGATCATGACTGGCTGAATGGTTACTATTGGAAAGGCTGTTGTCACACGGTGCACAATCATCATCTAATGTACCACTGTCTGTTGTGGAACTATCATCACATTTGATACCTAAACCAATATCTTCTTCACCACCAGGAGATTCTTGACTCGTTGTGGATGAAATAAAAGAGTTCAAATTTAATACGTATGGAAACGTGACTCTAAAATGACACAAATCATAATAATGTGAAATTATTTCAAAATTAAAAATAAACATTCATTGATCAAGTATTAGATGTGGGAAAAAGTTCGTGGCGTTTTTCCCGTAGATGGCATTAAAAAAACGCCACGAACTTTTTCCCACACCTAATATTATGCGATTTACATACTTATCGTTGAGCTTGATTCTGTGGAAGGTTTTATAATCAAAATCAAATCGCTTGAGATGTAAAGTTAATAGATATGGAAATTTCGTAAATTTCAATCCTTTATGCGCATCACATTTTTTATTGCATTTTTCACAATGATACTGATTAGCTCCTTCCAATGTTTCATACTGAACAAATGCTCTAATTGCTTCTTCCTACGAGAAAAAGAGCTTCTTTCTTATATATGTAAATGTAAATTTCAAATTGCAGTATTTCAAATAGCAGTAATATTTACCACACTGTTATATGCAACATTGCTTCCAAATGGTCTAACTGGTAATGGGATATCAAGAAACGTATCTTCTCTTGATTTTTCTGTTCCACACTCAAGACATTTAACGTAATCGGTCATCTTTCCTAGCAATATAGAAAGCAAATTACAGATATTTTCATAACTTACACATAATGATATTTTGTACCTTCGTAAAGTCTATTAATTAGATCCGCTTGTTCTGTATTTTTGAATTTCTGTTCTAATGCATCGAACATAACTCTACAAAGCTCTTGAATATCGTGTTGTTGCCATGCTTCGGTAGAATCCCATCCAAAACTTTTCGTTAAGGATGTAGTCTCCACTGCAGACCTTGTAGATGTCTATTTGTAAAAAATGTGATTATATTATTAAAAATTATTTCAAAAATTATATTAAACACACACATACACATGAAAAATATACATATACAATGCATTTATTAAACACATATTATACCTGTAAATTGAGAAATAACTTCTGTAATTGATACGGTATGCTTAGAGCTTCATCCTTTTCTGAACTATCTATATATTCCCAATTATAAAGTGCATTACGAAATTCTGGTGTCATATACAGAGCTTGAAGAAGACTATTCAAGTAACAAGTCATTGCTTGATTAACTAAACCGACATAGCCTTAAAGAAATTATAGAATAAATTATGCAGATATATATTATAAAATACTAATAAAAATATTTTCGTTAATATATATGCAAATTTATATTAAAATAATTCTTAAATGGTGCTTACATACTTGTTTCAGTTTTAATAAAAGTTCTGAAATTAACTTCTTCTCTACCATCCCTAACATCTTCTCTAACATCTTCCCTAACAATATTTTCCTCAGTCCATCGTGGATGAAGGGACGGTGCACCTGTTACATTAAACGGTGGCGAATGATGATAATCCATCTTTCTTCGGGACGTTGCCATATCAATAACAAAGGGTTCTGTTGGATGAACGACAAACAGAGTATTTTTCGTTTCAGGTGAACTCGAATCAACCGAAAAATCTACTCCAACCTGCTCCATCGTTTTGTCTTTCAACTCGGATAAATCAATCTAATATTGGATATAATATGAACTATATTAGAACACACATGTTTATTGCAATTATATATTTAAAAAGTTGTAATTAAAATAACCAGTGTGCATGACGGCGTGCGTAGAAGCAACCTAAAACTGTCCGGTTGCATATGATAATGTTCTTCGATATAGTTGTAAAGATCCTTCACGCGTGTAGATACATGTAAGGAAAATTTGTCGCTAGTGCAAAGTTTATGGTTAGCCTCGTAAGGCATATTAAACTGAACGACACATACTTGAGTCTTTTCACCAGCTTTGCAAACCATGATCTGTAAACAAAGTGCCAAATGTATAAATCTCTCTTATTAAATTATATATTTACTATAACAATTAATTATTATTTGAGATATTCTTGTGACAAAATCATCCTTTTTTAAAAAGTAATAATATTATCTCCTTTAGTGCAGATATAAATACCATTGCAGTAATGCCAATTTGTATCGAACTTTAAATAAAATTGCGTATTATAAAACTATTATATATATAAAATCGAATTATAAAAATAAAAATCTTTAAAATGAATAATTAAAAATATTTTAGTACTATTTATTAAGAAAATTATTGCATTATAATATGACACTAGAACGAAAGAAACATAGTATTTCTCATTTTATTAATGGATACGGAATTTGGAAAGGTCATTATTAAAAACTTATCAGATACTCTTTTGAGTAGACAAAAATTGGCATTCTGCCATACTGATGGTGGAAAATGAGCAAGATCTACGCAACACAGCAGGATGCTGCTCTGCACGGCATGACACAGTACGGAAAGCCTATAGAGCCTCCAGCTATATTTAGAATGTCTAAACCAAGCTTGTGAAATGGCTCTCTTTTCTGAGATCGCAACCCATCTCTCTTTCCACGCGTTTCTCTGCTTTCCTATTTCATAATCTTCTCTTTTTTCTTAACAGTGAATCAAAATTTAAGTTTAATTAAACAATTATCACAATTGTTTCATTATTAATTATAAACTTTCACTTAAACTATTCTATGTGATTATGAATGTTTTTATTTAGTTATTACATATACAAGCTGAGATCCATTCTGTTTTATTATATATTTCTAAAAATAGGAAATGTCTTGATCTATTTATCATTATATATAGGACTTGACTTTTTTTAAAACTTACAAGCAATATGTATATTGGAGAATAATAAATAATATGCAAAAATTTATGTTAATCACATACATCTAAAATGTTTTATAAAGTTGAAACATTTAAGAATTAGATCAGAATTTATTATTAAAACTTACCTATTTTTTACTGGACTATTATCGATGTATGCTTTAATAGAAAGTTTATTCCTAATCAACTGATTCAACCTAAAAATGTATAATAAGATATAATAAGATATAAATATATAATATTAAAAATATATTAAACATGTATATTAAAAAATATATATATTAAAAAAAAAATTTAAAGAACTGATCAGATAAATATTGTCACAAGCAACCTTGTCTGTTTGATACAAGTAAATTTTATCAAAATAAAATTTTATATTTTTTTATAATACAACATATTTACTTTGCGATATGCAGTTAATTATAAAACTTTGTTATGATATGATTAATTTTATACAGAGTGATAAATATCAATCTATTCAATTGTAGATAACTGAGACATTTGTAATAACTGATATAAATGACTATGATAACATAAGATACAATAATTAAAAAAGATTCGATATGTAATAAAAAAAAGACTCCGGTAGTCTTTGTAAGATTTGTGTCTAAATACTTCACGTAGAAGACACAGAAGAAGCAACAGAAAGGCAACTGTCTTAAACAAATCGGCATTGACGGAATCCTCTCTCATCGGGGATCTCTTGACCCAGCATCGTGCCGCATTGTTACAATCACTCACGCGTCACGCGTGTATTACGCGCGTTATGTAAATACGAATATCTATATAATCGTAAAGGTAACGTTTATGAGTACGTTAGGTCCATGACGGCACGACATTCGGGAGATTGGAATGCGTCGCCGTGTCGGAGAAAGCTCTACCAAGAGCTGTTTCTCGATATCGTGTTTCCGTTAGCGTGTATTCCAAGGACCGATCCCGCAGTCGGTGAAGAGATCGACGCGGAATTGCGTGTCTCGCGCGTGTGGAGTATGGAATCGCCGATTTCAGTGACCGACCGTCCGATGACTTCAAACGGGCATTTACCGCGGACTGCTGCGACCCGGTCGAAGGGGGTAGACCCGTCGAGACGGCTGCGCGAACGAACGAACAGCCGGTCGAATGAAATTCCGCGATGACAGAACGGAGACTGGTCCCGAGAGAGAGAGAGAGAGTCTCTCTCTCTCGCTCTCCCGTGCGTCCCCGTGCCGCGCGTTCCCGGCGTGTTTCCCCGGCGAGTATCGTGGGATCCACCCGACGTGCCGTTCCCGAAGTGCTTGACGATATGTCCGACACAGCCGAGCTGCCGGAGCCGCGAACGGTCCGCGCCAACCTCACGATTCAGGAACTGACCCCTTACCGAAATCACTGACACATGTGCAACGCACTCACTTTACGCCATGTTTTCCTGGACGGCGCATCATTCGCTCGCGGTGGATGCGGGGGGATGAAACGAGGAGGAGCAAACGACCGATTGGTGCTGCGCTCTACTGTTGCCTTTGGAGGTAACGCAGGTAACGGGATCTCGACAAAGGCAAAGGGTCGATTGTGTATCTTGAGATAGGTGAATATTATAAAAGAGAGCGTTTCGCTCGACATTTGTAATAATCTCATATCAGTTAATACCTTAGTGAACTTGTTCACCTTTATAATTTTTCTCGTTTGAAGATATGATTCCCTGAAGTTTTTTCTCTTTTAGTTTTCTTTTTCTCTTTTTTTTTTATTCTTTCTCTCGAATATGCGGTAGCACATTTATTTCGTGTGAATACCAAACGTAACAATATACAATATATATAAATGTCAATATATAAGTGTCAATATATATAAATATATGATATAAATGTATATAATTTGATACATTACAGGTCTATCCAAAGTATTACATTATTGTCATTCCAGAGATACATTTTATCAACAATGGAATAAGCGCAACTGGTATATTTCTGCAGAGCACATTTGAATTTAATACTCAAAAATCCTGATCAAATAAAATATTAAGAATAAATTATAATGACTTTCAAATTAATTTCGAGCATTTGGGCAAAATTCTTCATTTTAATCTTTCTTGATTTTCCTTTTAATTTGCGTTGAATTATTATAAATATTATATATAAATAAAAACAAATGCATATATAATAATATATCCAAGAAAAAAATAAAAATGTGTGATGTGTTTATCTCCGAAAGAATGTTTATACTAAAAAAGCAAAAAGATGCACTGATTTCTCAATAGATTTATATGAACAATTAATATTACTGAAATGCTTTGTTTATTTGCGTAAAAATTAATAACCGTTGAATTTATTATTAACAATAATAACAATAAAAACCATAGAATATATTACATTAGAATATGAGGCACGAGTTGTCAAAGCTATGACATGAAATACGTCACAAACGAATGAACGTTTCCCATTATAAGTACATGTTTTATTCCCATTCGATAATACAAATAAGTCAACAGATTTTTTTTTCTTTTTAGCGAACAAGATTTATGTGCGGTTAATCGCGATTGGATTTAATTCAGGAAACTTGAAAAAAGCTGGAAAAGGATATGTGAAGTATGATTAAAATCCCAATAACGAAATACAAAATAATTTCAATGTTTCACGAGAAATGTCCGCTTCTTATCGGACGTGCCGTATATTTTTAGATTTTTTTTTTGTTCCGGCTGAATTTTGAAACGAGATCTCCCAGATGACGCTACCGTAAGTGTGACGCAGTCACTTTCTTTTTTTTTTCTCGTTGTTGTGACGTTACTCCATAACGCTCCACTCAGCTCCACTCCATCTGCTCCACCATGGCGCGACGTTGACAAGCCACGACGTAAAGGAGTTATCAATGAGGATCTGACGTGTTGACGAATCGAGACTATATCGGGAACGCATTATGGACCTGGCCAAATCGTTCTTCAATGTTCGCGATCATGATGGTTACGTCGGAAAAGAGGAACATAATGTAAGTATTCTCTCGAATTATGATGCTGGGTTCTGCGAGGTAAATTAACATGTGGAATCGAATTCGGTTAACTCCTTATTATTCAAATTTGTTAGATTTATCATAGCTCTTTCAATATGTAAAAATATATTAAATAAAAACAGACAGAGATGAACAGATGAATATAGTGTCTAAAAAAGTGACTCCAATTTTGAATTTCTAATGATAGAGAGAAAGAATGAAAAATGAATTAGAAAAATAATGAATAATATAATTATACGAAAATCAAAACTAATAAAAAATAATTATAAATAATAAATTGACATACAACTTGCGAATTGTAATAGAAAATTAAAAAAATTTTTTTCAATGAAAACTCTTGAAAAATATTGATAGAGTCTTGAACTTGAAAAATATTGATAAAAAATTCTCTTTGATTATTACTTGTTTTAGATTTGTTAAATGTAATTTTATGTTTTAGAAAAAAATAGAAACAGCTATTTCCGAAGATGAGATCGAAATAGAAGTTGGAAGTTTGTGTGGTGAGGCTTTGTCGCCAGCACCAGGTGGTCCATTTTCAGCATTGACTCCATCCATGTGGCCACAAGATATCTTGGTTAAATTGAATCAACCTGATGATCCAAATTCACAACCTGAATATAGGTAAGATTTATATATATCAAATAATGTATAAAAGTATATTAAACTTTTTTTAAAAATGTATACAAAAACTGCATTTATAAAAAAAACGTAGTAAAATAATTTTACAAATTAATATTTGCAGTTATAAATTAATATTTATAACTGTTCCATCAATCTAGGTTTGATGAATTTGGCTTTCGTGTGGAAGAAGAAGATGGCCCTGAACAGAATTCAAAAAAATTGCTGGGAATACCATTTGTTGAGGATCCTCAACATAGGTTAATTAAAATCGTATTTTCATAACATACTTAATAAAATATAGCTATTGTAATTGTATTTGAAATAGAGCTATAGAAGTTAGCTATAGAGTATAAAAATAGATAAAATTCAAATATATTGATTTGTTCTTTTAGATTGCAATGGGTTGCTCTTTTGGAATTTAGCCATAATAAAGAAGTGGCAGAACTCTCCTGGCAAAATATGGATCGAAATCTACCACGTACAGATAAATTACGTGAAATGGTTCGCCGCGGCATACCTCATTCCTTGAGACCTCAAATTTGGATGCGCATGTCAGGTATAAACAATAAAAATACAAATTTTTGACAAATTATGATGAAAATACGTTTTTAATTATAGGAGCACTTCAGAAAAAATGTTCATCGGAAATAATGTACAAAGATATAGTGAAAGCATCGAGTAATGATGCATTAATGACCAATAAGCAAATAGAAAAAGATCTCCTTCGCATTATGCCAGCCAATGCATGTTTTAGTCATCTGCATAGTACTGGTATACCTCGTTTAAGACGCGTTATGCGTGCCTTAGCTTGGTTATATCCTGATATTGGGTATGGAAAAGTACAAATATAATTAATTTTAACGGCATTATTTTATTAAGTTAAATACATAATATATTAATTTTAATTTAATATATTTTTATCCTATATCAAGTTACTGTCAAGGTACGGGTACGATGGCAGCGTCATTATTATTACTTTTGGAAGAGGAAGATGCATTCTGGATGATGGCAACAATAGTGGAAGATTTGTTACCAGCTTCTTATTACTCTTCGACATTATTAGGTAATACATTGTGTCAACCTTATAGAGTATTTGAAGTTACAAAAATTTAATGCCAATTGTAACATAAAATTATTATTATTTTTATAGGTATTCAAGCCGACCAAAAAGTACTTCGCACATTAGTAGCTAATTACCTTCCTGACATAGATCATGTTTTGCTGCAACATGACATAGAATTAAGTCTTATATCTCTGCACTGGTTTCTGACTTTATTTGCATCAGTTGTGCATATGAAAATATTACTACGAATATGGGATATGTTCCTTTTTGATGGATCTATAGTTTTATTCCAAATTACGCTTGGGATGTTGAAGATAAAAGGTATACATTTTTAATATATACTTATTATATTTTGAGTGATTTATATTATTTTATACAATTACTTATAATTATAAAATAAATTAATAAAATGTTTTTTTTTTTTTTTTCAGAAACAGACTTGAGACAATTGGAGAACTCTGCACAAATATTTAACGCTCTCTCAGATATACCAGGAGACATTGATGATGTGGACCAATTATTCAATGTATGTTTCTCTTGATTGTTTCTCTTGACAATTTTAAAAACATGTTATAACATAGGTTGTTTTAATATAAATTCGATATTTTTTAGGTATCTTTAGAAGTTAGTGGATCACTGACAGACGTGTTAGTCGAGACTCATCGACGTCGTCATTTAGCTTATTTAATGGCTGATCAAGGCGGATTGGTAGGAAATCCAGATGCAGTACCGAATTTACCAAAACAACATTTGAATAGGTAAGTGATGAAAAATATATTATATATAATTCTTATTTAATAATAATTCACGATCACAATAATTTGAATTTTTTTATATTTGTGTATATCTTCTTTGTGGTCTTTTTGCAGACGTCAAATGAAGCGAAATAAATCAATGTTGCAAACAATTTTATTTGGAAATGATGATGGCGAAGACGATGCAAAATCTAAAAATATTCGTCAAACAGGTATGTATATATAGCATCCAGTAAAATTTTTAATAAAATTTGTCTGTATTTAATTTAATATATGAACTTTTAGAAATTCTAGTTGATCTAAGAGAAGCTGTTTTACAAGTTGCAAGACATTTCATAAATGTCGATCCAAAATTAAATAATGTTGTTCTCATAGCAGATTATACAATGGAAAGTCATGCAAAAGACCATGACAATTATGTTAATGTGTCGCGAACACGAAAAAGAAGAGCAAAAGCTTTACTAGGTAATTAGATATAAATATCTTTTCTATTACATATTATAACGATATGATTTTAATAATAATAAAAACAGACTTATAACAATAAAAGTAAAGATTCATATTTAATTTAAGAAATCAAATGAAGATGAAAGAATCAAGATGAAAAATGCTGCTCTATACATATTAATTTTGTTACAGATTTTGAGAGACATGATGATGATGAACTTGGCTTTAGAAAGAATGATATAATTACAATCATTAGTCAAAAAGATGAACATTGCTGGGTGGGAGAACTTAATGGACTAAGAGGTAATATAAGTAACGAAAGAAATCTTACAATATTATGAATATTATAATGAAATGAATGAATTTTTGATAGGTATATTAATTTTTTTCAAAGTTT